GCTGTAAAAAAACCGTCCCTCCAGCATGCCTACTCCGTTGCCAGCAGCTGGGCGGTGAGCTTGTTCCTCCGGACGTATCCCAGGAGCCAGCGCTGACAGAAGAGATACGCACAGCCTATAGTCCCACAGATCACCCTGTGGAGAAGAGGGAAGGGAGGTGAGAGGGGCCAGGTCTCCCTCTTGCCCCTGCACCCTTCCAGACAGCCCCATGCGGGCATTCAGGGGTCATTAATGATCACCAGGCATAGTCATTAACATTGCAGAGCAGGGAAGGGACAGCTCGGGCTGGTATCGTGGTGCACACGCGCAAGAAGGCAAATTGAGGTGGTCCCAGCCACTCTAATTCTGACATTTCCTAATTGTCGAGCATGTGGCTTTGCAATCCATCTCCCCTCGTGAGACCCAGGGACACATCTGGGGGTGGGGATACAGCGTTACTCCAACACCATTTTCAAGGGAGAGGAGGGAAGTTACTTCCAAGCTGGAAGGAGTCAAAATTAAGTCAGGAGCTGAGGATTTGGGCCATGAATATTTACAACACATTGGCTTGTGGGGCTCGTTGTGTTGGTTGGTGCAGGGTCATATGGACTGAGTAGCTCCAAGGCGATTACTTGTGCTCAGGAGGACTTAGGCTCTGGGAACATAAAGAGGCCAGGGACAGAGGTCTTGCTAGGCTTGGCTAACATCCATCCAGCACTTGAACACCCCTCATTACCAGCCATCAGAGCACCCCACAACCTTCGAGGTACTATCCTCCCCATGAGGCTGCTGCTTCTGTCTTAGAGATGAGGAACCGAGGCCAAAAAAGTGACTGGCCCACCACAGGTGTCCTAAATCCCAGGGCACTTAAGGACCTGCTTGACCTTCCCCCTCTTAAAGGCAACATCTTTGCCCCGAACAAAGGCAAAACAGCAGCCCAGACCGGACCTGCTCTTACCCAACAACCATGAAGAAGAATATCTCTGGGAGGTCAAAGGGGAAATCGATCTTAAAGTTGGTCTTGAAGGGAGCCATGATGGTTTCTGGGAGAAGGGAAGAGTCACAAGTCATTACCGGCGAGGCCACAGGGTGATTCAACTCTGTATATTAGTCGGTTAGCACGGGGTGATGGCCAGGAGCGGAGGAGCGGGGTGTAGGACTCCAGTGCCAGACCCAGCCTGGCCTCCGCAAGTGGTCACTTGGAAGATGCAGCGTCCGCACGGGCTCCAAGGAAAGGAAACACGATGCAGAGGACAGCAGCAGTGCAGGGACCAGGGGGTCATAGATTTCATAGACGTTAGGGGCTGGAAGGGACCTCGAGAGATCATCGGGTCCAGCCCCCCCCCGCCACCCCCCATAAGCGGGAAGTCAGCTGGGATCAAGTGACCCCAGCAAGAAATATATCCACCTGGAGTGGGGGCACCTGACACAGCTTTGGGCTGCAGAGTCTGGGGTCCTGCTAGGAAGTACCTTGCCCGGGACCGAAACCAGCAGCTCCTCTGTATCTCGAATGTACTCCGCTGCTGCTTCAGCCCTGGCTTCTCCCAGCCACGCAGCACTACCAGCACATCTCAGCCCCAACCTGTGGCCCCACGGCCACTAATCACACCAAATGGCTGTGCCACGAGCAAACATCCATTAGAGCCTGGGCTGACAGGCTGCCAAAGCCATTTATGCTTCAGTGCAGCAGACCGTCAGAGGTTGCGCGTCTCATTTAATCTTCCCTTTGTTTGTCTGCAATCCCCTCGGCTGACACCATGGGAGTCTATCGATTTTTTCCAGCGCGGCCGTGTCTGAAATTGCACCCCCGGTGTTCAGAACAAGATGTGATAGACCGCGATTCTTTCACCAGCATCCAAGTCATCAAAGATACAGCGTGGCCCATTAAAGAGCTGATTTTTAGCTGGGTGCAGAAGGGTTACGCGCAGGCTAAACCTCAGCAGTCTGCTTTCCAAGACTAGCATCTTTTTCTGGATTGTCTTGGAAAAAGAGATGAATCTTTTTCCCAGAAAAATAAAATACACTGCTGATATTTGACTCATAAGCAAGCTAGGCCAAGGTATCGCCAGGGCCTCACAGACTATAGCCACAGACGTGCAAAGGAATCATCCTGCCACGGCTGAAACGCAGGTGGAGCACGGCAGCAGGTTAATGGCATACAAAAAAAGCCACGCACAACACATCAGGAGAAAGGGCCGAGGGCGGTAATAAGACAGAAATGTTATTAGCTGAGACAGAAGTGAGCCAAAGCACTGGATTTTTCCCTGCAGCATCTCTACAATCCCTTGCCCCTTGGCAAAGTTTCCAGAGATCTCTGACTCCTTTTCCACTGCTGCAGCTGAATTAATGAATAGGGCCGGCCTAATCTGACCGCCAAGTAAATCAGCAGGATGCTTCCGCGCTGGATAACTTTATCCCCTGATGTCCTATCGAAACCCCCCACCTGAGCTATCTCACCTCCATGCCAGCCCTGCTTCTTTCATGGGAGGAGACAGGACCATGACGCAAGGGGGTATGGCTATTATACAGCAGCTCCTTAAGGGAAAGTGCTTGAGGATTCAGCAGGGATTAAATCAGCTGCGTTGTACCGAAATTTAAGGGAATCCTAAGCAATTACTGTAAATCACTCTAGCGGCATAAACAATCCCACTGGTGACTCACAGCCACCCTGTGACTGACTGGTACAGCCAGTCCCCCCCCACCACCACCACCTTGTCATTGCCAGCCGCGGCACCCTCGCCGTGCCACGCAGCGGGCGCTGTGCTCTTTACCTTGATCGTTGTTGAAGACGGCCAGGAGGCGAAACATGAAGGCTCCGCAGGTGGCCGAGAAGAAGCCCCTCCAGTAGTCCCTGACAGCAAAGTGAGAAGACACCACCTCAATGCTGAACAGCACCCCTGGGTAAAAGCAGGTCTCTGGTTACTATGGTGGTACCGGTCATACCTCTACCGTGCTAATGGTAAAAGATACCTACTGGACGCATCTACACGTGCACATTTACTGCGCAGTAACCACAATTACTGCACAGTACCAGTGTGCATCTACAAGTGCACACCTGTACTATGCAGTAAATAGAGCGACTTATGCCAACTTGGGTGCAAATTTGATCCCTTCATCAAAAATGTATGCCCGATTAGTTATTGCACAGTAATGCACGTGTAGATGCCTTACTGCACAACAACACTGTGTGTGGACTGACTTGGGACTAATTTTAGTCCCAAGTCAGTCCACACACAGCATTAATGCGCTTTAATACCTGCATGTGTAGATGCCGGCCTGTTTCCATTTACTGCGCAGTAACTTTAAGCCAATGTAAATGCACGTGTAGACACTCCCACTGTGAGCTAGATGCATCCAGGAGCTGGGGATATCTCAGACAGAGCTGTGTGCTCCATTGCACCCTAGGGAAGGCATACAGGCTCCCAGAGGGTCCTAGTTGCTTGTTCAGTGTCCAGATCTCAGCATGGGGATAAAGCCTTTATGAGAGTATCAAAATGTCCCCGTGGAAAACATGGAAGATTCTCCACTGTCCTAATGACACATTTTGCCTGACCTGATTTGCCAGTCATGCTGCCTGTTAGGTGGCTACAAAGGAGTCACTTCTTAGCAGGGAGGGAAGCGAGTGATCATTCGATTAGTATAGATATATATATCTATGCTGGCTGAGTGGACTATCCAGATTTATTGCCATTTGGATAGGAAGACCTGGCAATACAGTGGACAAGCTAGAGATAGGAGCCAAAGCAAGGAGAGGTGGATCTGACCTGTGGTTGGTAGCCAGGAGCTATGAAGCCAGGATCTATGAAAGGCAGGGGCTCTTACCAGCCATGGTGCAGGGGGCTTGGGTAAGAGAGTGGACGGGCTCTGGATGCAACAGTCAGGGAGGGAGGGGCAGACAGGCAGAGTCTGTGATTCAGATGAGAGGCCACATGCAATAGAGGAAGAAGCTGAACACAGAGGAGCCCGACTTATACCATGTAGGTGTTCTTAGGCAGATGTGTTCTTACTGAGACCTTGCGCTAGTGAAAGTAAAGAGGCATCGCATTGAGAAACCCTTACAAAGCAGACCCGTCTGCCTGCTTCTCCCTCTCATGCATCCCCCAAAGAGTTATACCGGTCACCAGAGCAGTCACAAGGCTGGGCCTCTCCAAAACTGTGTGCTTCAGTGACTGGGGAGCGGACAGGTCACCACCGGTTCTGGGAATTTAGGGCGGGCGGGCTCTAAAGGGGGAACAACCAGCTCGTGCCTAGACAGTGCAAGCAAGGCAAGAGAATTGCAGCCTACCCAAGCCACAGGAAGCTTAAGAGCATCTAGGTCCAACGTAGTGAGTCCCAAACACAACGGCTGGGCGTGTAGCCATCGGGGGAGCCACACCAGGGCTGTATCAGTCCCGTTTTATCATTTCAAAATGGAAGCCTTTGCCTGTTCCCTTCTGAAATTTAGATTATTGCACGTCACGCCTGGGAGACTCTTACCGCTAATGGGAGCCCCAAAGACAGTCGAGACCCCAACAGCAGCTCCTGCCACCAGCATTTCATTCTGCTTGCTTTTATTCTGGAAAGAGGGGGACAACACACACAGAACAGAGCTGTTTGGCCTCAGACTTTAGCCCCAAGAGAGAATCACAGCTACGCTGCCCGGGGGTTTGTTCATCTAGTAGTTGGACTCATTTTTTTTTTAAATTTTAATTTAAAGAAAATATATTTTCCTTTAGCAATTGATAGCCAATACAAGGCTTAAACTAAATACCCAAATCCATTAAAATATTTAAATATAGCAGAATATTCAAGCAGTGTATGTGTCCTACCGCTGTTTTAAAGAATAGCAAACCAGCAGACAAGGAGAAGTCCTTGGTTAAGCACTTGAAACCAGAGTCACTGAAGACAGAAACCAGGTTTTGCTAGCTGGGGACTTTTTGGGAGGTACAGAGAGACTAAAGTCATTTAAATTTGGCTCAGCTGCAGCAGCAGGACCTTGAGAAGCCTCTCGTCCCCCTCCCTTACCTTCGACCAGTTTGGGTGTTCCTCGCAGTTTGGGGGCAATGTGCCTTGTAGCTGCACGATAGGGCTGTATCTATAGGTTTAGGAACAGGTCAGACACAAGCATGTGTATGGGGTGGTTTGGCTAGGGATGCCTCAAGCAGGCGGTTGGACTAGATGTGACCCCCTGAGGTCCCTTCCAGCCCTATGATTCTATGATACCGTGTTTATTCAAAGTTTAGAAACCAGTTATGAGTCAGAAACCACCCCCAGGAAAGCTTCTTTTCCATTTCCAGTCTATGAATATAAGCTAGCTGGGAAAGGCTGAGATCTCCCAACTCTAAGCTCTCGAAGCACACGGGGACTGGAAACAACCAGCTGAATTCACTGACGACAAATAACATTGACTTTGTTTAATGCATGCGTTCATCTGAAATGCCAACGTTTGACAGACCTTTCTATATCTTCAGCCCATTTTCAACAAAAAATGTCTTTGCTACTGTTTTTTTGCATGTTTCTTTGCATACTGATTTTCATTCAAAGTGGCTTGACAAAAACCGGTGGGGGGAATTAATGAAAATGCCATTCCTTATTTCTTAAGGCATAAAGTATAACAACTAAGAATGTCAATACATGTCTGTTAAACTAAATCACTGCTAAAATATGCATATGAGATGCAAATCAACGCATCAGCCTGGTAGCTGAAGAGAAGTCTTGGGGAGGGGGCATGACACCCTGAGTTTCCCCCTTCCCCCATCAACAGGGTGCTGCTCTGGTCTCGGCCTTACCTCGTACTCCCCGATGACTGACGTCCGAATCTTCCCCAAATAGGCAGCCATGATGCTGGAAATGTGGACGAAGGGACCCTGGAGGAGAGGGGGCGTGGGACTCTGAGTGCTTTGCCTAAAGAGCAATGGTCTGAAAATCAGGAGTTTCACTTCAGAGAAACAGCTGAAAGCCCGACGGCCACGTTCACCCCCGGTGTAAGCGGCTGGCGTCGGTGCAGTTAAAGCAACAGGTATGAACTTGGCCCCAGCGGATCGTCTGAACTTCTCTGGGCAAGGGTGTGAGCTGGAAAGCCCATGAGAGCCGACCCTCTGCAGAGATTATCTGGTACCTTGTGCTGCAATGGATCGACAAATCCATGTGCCGCGCGAACAGAGAAGGCAGCACACCTGCCAGTAGTGGCAAGACCTTCACACTCCCTACATCACAGTCACTAGAGGGAACCAATGCTCCCTCCCTTGTGCCTGCAAAGCCGGCAGCTGGGCATCGTGGAGCTCTTACTAGGGGCGTTCCCACTGCCCCGCCGAGGGGAACCATAGTAACACTTTCTTATTTTTAAATGAACACCTCCAGCACGTCTGACTTCAGCTTAGGGTCAAATCAGTTCATGCTCTGTCCTCAGCTGCTTGCAACTCCTCTCGCAGTGAAATGCATGGGCGCAGGCTGCCGAGGGAGGTCCTTCTCACTGCAGGGAGGCGTTAGCAAACTTCAGGGATGCTCCGGGGAACCTGACTCACGGGAGATGCGGCGCTAGGGCAAAAAGCTGCTTTAAGACTGGCAGACGGCTGCACGTCCGCATCGGGCATTCGAGGGCTAGAAGCGCTATGGACATGCTGTAATCATTCCCAAACGGGGCTTTCTGAATGTAAGGGGAAGGCTGCAGTTAACAGCAGCCAAAACAAATGTAGACGGCCAGGGAAGCTGGGCCCATTGCAAAATGGCTTTTATTTTAACATAAGCCAAGGCAAAGCTAGACCTCGAGGCACTACGCTGTACTCATTCTAGCTCAGGAACCAGGATTAGGAGAGCTGTATTCGTATGACCCTGCCTCCAGGCTAACTATTGTGCTATGAATCACAGTCCATTAGCCCAAGTCTACACATGTCCCATCTCTCATTGGGCTTCGAAGCCGTTGGGGTGACTCGAACCAGAGGACTCCCCCAGCCATCAGGCTCCCTTCCAGGGCCGTGACTTGGAAGCAGATGCTCAGCTGACGTAAATGCACAGGGCCCCTCTGAAGTGAGAGGAGCTGCAAGACTTGCCCCTGCTTGGGTGGGCTCCCATTCCCTGGACATCCCCAAGCATTTTGACTCCACGTCTCACTCGCAATTTGGAAAATTTCTTTGCAGCAACTCTGTCGTCTGGCCCTGTCTCCTCGCCATACCTTCACGCTAACCCTGACAGTGGACGAACCGCTCCACGGTAGCACTCCCCAGTTGCCAGCCCTATATCCACCCCTCCATCCCCACCAGCTGTGAAGCTGGTCTGGGGACACTCACGACTTTGCCAAGGAAGATGGTGCTCCCAGCGGCCAAGGTGCAAGTCATCCCCACCACTTTGGCTCCAAAGTTCTTGATGGCCAGGTAGTCCTCCAGCATGACCCCAGTGAGAATGGTCTTGAGCTCCGGGATGCCAGAGCCTGGAAAAGCCCAGAAATGGGGGACACATCAGAGCACTTCTGGGTGCCACTCAGCCATCCAAACCTAAAGGAAATGAAGGTGGCAACATCTAGGTCTCCACTTCTGCATTTCCAGGGCAACTCCTAGCTAGGCCTGATGCTGACAAGGTCAAGGGTGTATTCTGAGCAGCACATTTCCAGTTCAGACCAGAGGCCATTAGATTGCCCAAAGGCAGACAGAAGGGCTGGTTCGACCCAAGAAGTCTTCAGTTTTATCTAGTTTCCAAAAGTGGAAAAGAGGTATCTGCTGCTTGCAAGGAGGCTAAGGGGTTTTGTCCCCAGTTGGTGCTTTGTGCCAGTGGAAATCCCGATTACCAGTCCCAGAGAGTCAAGTTCTCTGTTTATGCACTAAGCCCATCCACCGAACAGCTGAAGCTACGAAACCTGCTACTTGCTGTCTTGCCAGTGCCCCAAACTCCTGACCCTTGCGGGGTATGAAGGGAGTTGAGTCTCCAGTGGTCCTTGGGGTGTCCTGGACTCCCATCAGCCCATGCCCCACAGGAAGATGTGCAACCATTTAAGGAGCTTGTAGGCAAGCAGCAGGTCATCACCTGTCCCTGAGCTAGTGGCTCTTGATCCATCTAGTGCTTGTTCAGCCATGACACCTGGTCTCTCTGCCGAGCTGACCAGCTAGAGGTCTACTTCATGCCAACCCCAGGAAGGTTTCCTGGGACATGGGCACTGGTCGTGAGCTTCTCCCATTGTGCAGGCCAGCTCTTTAGCAGATCAGTCTGCTCACAGCCCCCCACAGGCCGCCTCCAGCTGCGGAGCATCAGACTCACCTCCCGAATGCGGAGTGATGCTCTGTGCATAGCCAGTGGAGAAAGCAGCCAGGGCAATGGGGTACATGGTCCAGGACAGGTACTTCAGCACTAAGTAATCCCCCAGCTCTTGGTAAAGCCACCGGTGTGCTGAAAAATAAGCATAGGCAAGCGGGGGCATAGAAATGCACATGGGCATGGGCCAGTGGCCTCGCTACCCACATAGCCCAGCCGTGCGGCTCATCTGGTAACTCGCACCCCTCCCTGCTGGGACCTGCTGAGGTCCATCTACTCTGATACCCCACCTACAACACCCTGGGACCATCACGGGACAGCCCAGCCTAGTGTGGACCCCTCTGGATGTCCACACAACCGCATCTTTCCCCCAGGCATCCGCACTCGCTTCCAGCACTCAGTTTCCATTGCCCAGTGTGGTGCATCAGCTAAAACAGGAGGGTCTGTACTGCGCTGCCGTCCCCATGAAACCCACGTGGCATTTGCCGAGGGTCAGTGGCAGGAAAGCAGCCCAGGTGTCCTGGCTCACTAGCACAGTCGTGAGCCCCCCCACCTATAGTTACCATTCAGCAATGTGGTGACGGTGAAATCCATGACAAAGCTGATCATGGCCATTATCACCCCTAGAGCGAAGAGGAAGTACCAGTCCTCGCCGACGCGGAACAGCTGGCGCTTCACGCAGTCCAGGCAGCCTGCAAGGGGGGCACGGGGGTCACATCCACCCCACCACAGTCAGCTCCAGGGGCCTCTGGGATGGCAGGAGCACAAAGACGCTTTGCAGCCAGCTCAATTATTAACCATGGAGCAGCAAGTGCCCCCGAGGGGCAGCTTCATTATGGCTGAAATATTCCACGGAGGTTTCCGAGATTGTTTCCCAGACCAGCTGATCCCATTGAGACCAACCCTGCCGCTGACCCCGCTCCCTACCCCCTGCCCTGGGTTGTATAGAGCTCTTCGGGAAGTCAAACGTCCAGGGAACGGGCTCTGTACAAATTGGCAGGGCCCGCTGGAAAGACCAGGTGGAGGTATTAAATGCTGTTCATCCGTGAGGGCTGAGCAAGCCCAGAGCAATGGCTTTGGGGCCACTTCCTCGCCATCTGAGCTCCAGTGAGTCCCCTGGGAGCAGCAAAGAAACAGCACGGACAGGGTTATAGGGACAGGCGCTTTGCACAGCCGTCAGCAATGGCTTCATGTTGCAGGTGGGAATGACCCAGGAGCTAGTCCCCAGCCACCATCACTGCCACTGCTTCTTCTCCCCACCTCACATGGGGAAGCCCCCACTGCCAAACGCCGCTGAAACCCCCGGGCCGTGGCTCCGCTAGCTGTAGTTGCTGCCCCCTGGCTTAGAAGATCAAGGACCATCAGGGCAGTTAGGAAGCTGATGTTGGGGGGGGGGTCACATCTGAGGTTGAAGGGAATGGGGTCTCCTGTCCCACCTGGGTTAGGTGACCCTGATGGCCTCCTTCACTGCTCTCAGGCAGCATCCACGCTCTTACCTTGGACTCTCCTGCGGGTCTTTGGCCACGGCCTCCAGATTTCACTGAGTATGAGGATCCTCTCCTCCTCCTTAGCCACATCGTGCTCCCTCCGGTCCAGCCCCTCTGTTGCCATGGGCTAGTGATGCCTCCACACCACGAGCAGCAAGTCCCTGCATGGACGAGAGGAGGCACGTACAAGTGGTTGCACTGTGGCAGGTGGCAGCCCAGGGCTTCGTGGCTGCGAGGGGCTGTGTTATGAAGAGCTGCATCACGGAGGCGGAAAGCAATGGCTCTTACTAGGCCTGTTTCACGAGCAGTGTTCAGCAACCAGGATACCTGCAAGCAGGTCCCACCACTTGCCGCTGTTCCCCTGGGAGCCAGGCCTTGTTGGATTAACCACATGAAGTGTCTAGTGTCTTCGTCCCTCTCTACCCTCATCCCAGCCTCCCTGGGCTTTCCTAGGGCTGGTTCTCACCCCCTCCCCTACCTTCAGCCTGGCCTCGGTGGTGGAAGGAGCCTGCCCCTCATCCCAACCAGACTCCCCATGTATTCATAGCATCCAGAGCCTTGGGACCTCCAGACATCACATCTAGTCCAACCCCTGCCAGGCCTATCCAATCCATCCTAAACAAATCCAGCCCCTTAGTAAAACTACCATCAACCCCGACACAACACCAGGCATCACACCCAAACCTGCCACAGGGCAAGCAGGGGGGCCACGGCAGCCCATGTCCCGTTTGTGGAAAAGGTGGTTAATGTACACTCGAGAGATCCCAGGTAGAGAACATGCCCCGGGCGTCCCAACCTGTTGACTCCAGCTCGTTTCAAACCCCAGCCCTTCTCCCTTGCCCGTACCTCCAAAGGGGCTGAAATTCAGCCGGGCACCCATGCACCTTGGGTTGTCCTTAGCAAGAGGAGCAAGACACCCCCTGACCCCAAACAGCAAAGGGGGGCTGCCAGCAAACACACCCAGCCCTGAGGGATTCTGGAAAGCTGCGTAGAAGAAAGATCCTGCCCCCGATAAAGCCCTACTGCACTAATAATAGCAGAAGTTGGCCAGCCAGCTGGAACGTGTGCGGCCCGAGCGGGTCACCTTGGAGGGCCTGCCTTGCCGACGCCTCTCCAGCCGAGCGAGACCCACTGCACGTGGCCTCCTGGCTCCATCCGCCATGGCTGTGCTCTGGCAATAGTTCTCCAGGGGGGCTGGAGCCAGAAGGCCTCCCCCCCACCCCGCTGCTAAGCCCCTGCATGCAGTAAGTGTAGCTGACGCATCCCTGGACCAGCAAGGGAGCCAGAGCCCAGCCTGGAAATAGGGGTCATGCCCCACACACGCGAGCCCTGCAGGAGGGAGTGGGTGGGAGCAGCCAAAGGGAGGGCACGGACAACATAATCCCAAAACAGCACGATACCCTGGGCTCCCAGGCTCCCTGACTACTGCACTGCCCCGCTGCATTCAAGGAGATGGAAGCACCGGTGACAGCAAGCAAAGGTAGCCCCACTGAGAAAAGCCATCGTGGCTCGGACTGAGCCCGTGGAGACACTGCTGTTGTTTAATCCAAACTGGTTTCACCTGATCCCTACCCCGGGCACCACCCCTCAATGCACGCCCTGGCCCCTCCATCCAGGACCCTGCGGGGTAGAGATGGCAGCCCACAGACAGGCCCTTGAGCCTGCAGGACCCTGTCTTGGAAAGGGAGAGAGTGCCTCTTGGGATGGGCCAGGGGGGCTTGCAGCGAAGACAAAAGGAAGGTTTGCAGCTAGCCGGTTTGGGGTCCTCATAGGCAGAGGGTTGGCGAGCAGCGGGCAAGCAGCGGGGTAGTCAGGAGGACGAGCTGATGGGAGATGTTACCTCTTCCCTGGGAAGTGGCTTAGCACAGCAAGAAAATATCCCAGGCTTGTTCAGGTTTTCATTTAAGAGACTCTAAAATGTATTCCTTTTTTTTTAAATTCTGAAAAAAACTCAGACTGTGGCTTTAGATGGTCCAACAATTAACATTTGGGGGTTGATCTTTGCTGGAACAATGATTGCACTGCCTCAGTATTTCTAGGACAGGGGAAATCATTTCTCACCCAGCTGCTAGCTCAGGTCTAGCGAAAGGGGACCTCTGGGGATCAGAAAGAGAGGAGAGTCCACAGCATGGAAATGGACCATGTGTCCCGGCCCCCACCCCACAGGGACTCACACTGAGAAGCACCATCTCACCTCCTCCTACCTGCCCCCCTCCTGTCTCTTGGCCCCAGTACCTGTTTGCTGAAGCAGGCTGGGCTTGGCACAGGGCACGGGGGTAGCAGCCCTGAGCCCTGGGGAGAGCTCCCAGGGGTCTGGAGTGACCAAGATGCAGAAGGACTCTGGCTTTAGGATGATACTGCCAGACAAGACCCCCCTGCCCTCTTCTTTTAGTAGACTGGGCTCCAGGACTAGCTGCACGGGGGCCGACCATCCTCAAATGAGTCCCTCTCAGCCCTCTCTAAGGAAACATTAGACCCCCCCAGTCACCCACAGGGAAAAGAGACTGGGAGGTGGAGGGACTTGCCCAAGGTCACTCAGGGCATCTGTGGCAGAGCCAGGGATCAAACCGCCCTAGGGCCTGGAGCACCGGAGAGGTTTCTGATCTGCTGCCGCTCTGGCCCGGGGGCACGGATGGGAACACAGTGTGATAAGGCTGTGGCGGTGTATCGGAGAGCCTTTCCCAGAGCCTTGCTCAGCCCACCCCTCCGCTGGCTGGACCCCAGGGCATCACAGACGAGTGCCTCGCTCCCGCCCTTCCCAGGCCAGACACCCCTGCCCAGAGCGTCCGAGGACTCACCTGGGCGCTCCCCGCCAAGAGCTGCTGCCTCCACAGGTACAGCTCCCTCCCGGCCTCCTCGCCTCACTGTCCAGGTCCCAGCCCACCAGTGGGCTCCTCCTCCACCCCACCCGTCCTCATTAAAAACGCCCTTGACAGGTCAGCCAAAACCGCCCTGGCTGGAGTGGGCAGGAGCAGAAAGGCAGGGCTCCTTGCAGCCGCGCACATCCTGGCACGAGCCCAGGGAGATGCCTGGGGAGCCTACAGATCATTGCCCGGGGGGTTTCCTCTGGTGTGATTAGCACTGTCATCCTGGACCCTGCTCCAGCCCAAAACGGTGCAAGATAAGCCGTGGAGCCTGGGCCAGAGCCGGGCAGAGTTCAGGCCCTGGGGGGGCATTTGCCCTTTGACCTCTCTGCCAGCAAAAAAGCCAGGGTGGGGGACAAGGGTAGAGCAGGATTTGACCCATGTCTCAGGCTGGTTCCCAAAACCTGCGCTCCCCCCACCCCCCAAATCAGTGTCTCTTTCTCAGTGTATTGCTCTGAACCGCCCCGTGCCTCAGTTTCCCCCACCCCCTGAGCAATGAGGTGAAAGCCAATGCCCCCCTCCTGAGGTCATTGCACAGAGAACGGACTGGGCGGAGGTCGTACACCCGGCTTGTACCTCCAGGAGAGAGTGAGGCTGACTGGCTGCCCCATCTGTGCCAATGTCATGCATGTGTCCAGCCCCGGGTCCAGGACGGGTAGACCAGGGCTCTGGCTCCACATGTACCCCTGCCCCTGAGCACAGCCGGGAGTTGCTTTCTGTGCAGACGGGCTGCCCTGAGATCTCTGTGCGGGGAACTGTACCTTTAAGAGGCACCGTTTGGAGCCAGCTGGTGCATTGTGCAGACCAGGAGAGCACAGGGGCTGAACGAAGCAGGGCTGTCAGTCCCGTGCCAGGCAGAGCATTGGGATCCCGTGTCCTGCCAGGTGCAGGAGATGCCCTCTCCTCTCAGGTATGCTGGGGTAACAGGGTGGGCTTGGGTGCAGTTGGCCCTGATTCGTGGTGGTGGATGCAGAGTCAGACTCAATCCCCCAATCTCTCCTGTTTGCACAAGGCTCCCAACCTCCCTGGGCTCCGGGGCACTAGGCTAATACAACATACACAACACTGGATGCCATTTGTCCCCTCTTATTACACAACAGACCCCCCAGCGCCTTGCAGGGTGGATCTGAAACCGTCTAGCCCCGCAGCCAGCTTATAGGGGCTGCCAAGCATAGCGTGAATGCCTTCGCTTCCTCAGCTCATGAGATGCACCCTGCGCTCCCGGGCAGCCAGCGAGAGGACACAGCTCTCCAGAGGGGATCGGGTTCACCCCACAAGGGCGCTGGCACCCCTGCTTCTCCGTTGGGACCCAGGAGGGTTCACGGGCTGTGAGTTTTGTTTTAGGCTTGGGAGTGAAATGAAGCCCAGATTCCAGCCCCGTCAGCCCCACACCAGGGCTAGTCCTAATGCCCCATCTTCCCCTCACCGGGGACCTTTCAGCCAGTTTGGCTTGAATTTTAAGTCTGACGGCTGTCCTAGTTTCAGCTGCCAGGGATAGCTCTGTCTGAACCAGAAGCTTGGACTCAAACCTGCTTGCAGCTGGGATCCATAATGGGTTGACCTAAGAGCTCTCCTTCACCCTGGACCTTGCAGGGGTAGAGGACTTAGGAGCCTGCATCCCTTGCAAGGATGGCACAGGGCCTGGGTGTATCTAACTGTGCAAACCGGTGGCTAGCGGGATCTCCAAAAGCACGTCAGCAGGTTCGTGTTTGTGCCCAAAAGCTTGCAAAGAGCAATTTTTCCAACTTTTTAGTTAGTCTAATAAAAGATATCACATCTACCCAAAGAGTGCGTCTGCCTATGTCCTTAGACCAGCACGGCTACAACCAACGGCCCATAAGCAGGTGCCTCACTCTCCTAAGGACCTTTGCAGATTTGGCCTCTGGAGCCCACGTCCTTGTGCCTAAATGGATTTTGGCTCCAAAATCGCTGAGGCTTTTTGGAAACTACTACCCTAGAGGTGACCGCAGCGTTTAAGGGGGCTTGCATTGATCCGCAAGTGCTGAGTTGCATCCTCAGTGCCCCTGGCTTTCTTCTCTGCTCTGACCTGAGGGCAGATACGGGGCTGGCCCGGGACAAAGCAGCTGTTTGCTCGAGGCCTGCGTGCCCAGGAGAGGGAGGGCGGCAGGAGGCCCCCCCGGCGGCACCTGATTGAGGCGAGGGGCCAGCGAGAAGCGGTGACTCAGGCCCTCGCTGCAGTTACTCAGCATCCACATTTAGATGTCCCGGCCTCCCTCCATCCCCGCTACAGCTACTCGGAGCTGAGCCCAGAGCCCGGCCTCAGTTCCCACACTTCCTCGCTCGGCCTTGGCCGCGAAATGCCTGCAGTCCTGGCTCATCGCTCCCAGCACGCGGCGGACGTGCATTCCAGACGGCCGACAGGCCCGGGCGTTTCAGCCTCGCGGACATCAGCTGCATGCCTGGGACGGACGCGTGGTGGGTCATCGAGCCCTTATCTCAGCCTGGGGGATAAAACCATAGATGGTCTAAGGCTCGGGGCAAGTGCTGGCTCGCTTCCCTTGCTGCACGGCTCCACGGGTCTGCGTCCGTCCTGGCCTGGCCTTGCCCACGCTAAGCTGCTTTCATCCTGCCTCGTGACGCTGCCAGAGGCCAGTGACGTGCAGCAATGTGGAAAACGTGCGTGGGGGTGAGGACCGGGAAGGGACCCTGCGTGTCCGGATGGTCGCGGAGGCTGAGACGTGCCGGGTGCGAGACAGCAGCACGTTCTGTCCCCACGCGGCTCTCGGCGGAGCCCGCCGGCCTTTCCGGGGGCAGCAAACATCAGCCTGGACACCCTGCCACGGGGCTGGCAGCACGGAGAGCCAGGAGCAGAGCGCGCTGTGGGAGGCGGCAGGTGCACGGATCATGACAAAGTCCGTGCGCCTGTCACCCGCTGCACGGAAAGTTCCCTCAGTAACAAAGCCAGCGTCAGGATAACCACCTCCGCCTTCATTTCTTAAGGGAAGAACTAGCTGCTAGGATCTGGATATAATCTAGGACCGGCTGGCGGGTGGGTGGAGGATCTAGCCAAGGGGGCATGAACAGGTCTCCACGGGTGCAAAGGAAACCTCGAACATGCGCAGCTGACGGAGGCAGCGCTGCCTGCCTGAGTTAGCAGAGAGCCTGAAGCAATCCCTCGGAGACGGGCGTGACTTATTCCTTCCAGGTGGCGTGGGTGCTGCTCTCAGGGTGGCAAAGAAAAGCAGGGTCCCGGGTAGCCAGGCAGGCACCGGCCTCCATTCCCACCTCTCCCACTGCCGTCCAATGTGACCTTGGGTCAGCCCCAGCCTCTGGCCGTGCCTCAGTTTCCCCGCTTCAAACAACACTCGCAACTGCTTCCTCTGGGGGATAAAGGGTTTTAAGGCCTGGAGAGCCGGGGCCAGCATTAAACACCCCCTGCAATGGCATTTTCCAGTGCTCCCTCTCACAAACCAACAGGCCGTCACCTATTCGCAGCAAGTCCAAGCCCTCGTCATCTCCCGGACAGCCCTCACCCCGGCACCCTCTCCTGACGCCTTCCTTTTTTTGGGAAGTCGCCCGCCCTCTGCCAGGCGCAGCCAGGACCGAGTGGGAGCTGCATTATCCAGGCAGGCAGGAATGCCGGCGATGAGATCAGATTCCTCCTACCACCGGTTGTTGGCGCCCTGGCAGGGGGACGGGGGAAAATTTCCACCCGGCTGAAGGATGCACAAGCAGCTAAATTTAGGCTGTTTTACAAGAGGGCTGGAAGGCAGCCCAGAGACTAAAGGGGGCTTTATAAACCCAACAGCTGCCTCCGAGCCGTGCTGTCCTCATCCACCCAGCCGGCTATAAAGAGGGCCGTGCCAGTGCCCCCCTGGGCCCGGCTCTGATTCCCATTCTCCTGCAGGAGGAGGGAAGATCCACTCCTCCCACCCCAGTTGGTTGCCTGGTTGGGTTTATTTGTATTTCTTTGCTCCCCCTCTCTCCCGGCAACGTGCCCCGAGGTGGATGAGCGTGAAGTCCTCCTCTGCCTTCCACTCCCAGCGGCACTTCCACCACAGCTCGTCCTCGGCCTCCCCGGCCCCCTCCCAGCAGCACCGCATGGAGAAAGCCCGCGGGATATTCGCCGACGACTTCGGGAAGTTCATGAGGCCGCGCACGGAGCCTCTGGGCTTCGCAGGCAAGTCGGTGTCTCCGGGCTCCGGCCGCTGGTGTGGCGAGACCCATCGCCGCTCGCTGTTCCCGGGGCAAGAGATGGAGAGACATGGGGGTGAGGGATGGGGTGTGGGGCAGAGCTGGGGGCAGTAACAGGGCCAACATCGCTTACCCTCCAAACTGCTCCCGGGTGCAGGTCGGACCAGGCCACCCTGGGGACGCGGCAGCAGATGCTGGGCGCAGCTCAGGGCTGTCCAGCCTCTAAGGGGCCGGGGGCTGCAATATAACCCCTTGCAGGCTGCATGCAGCCCCCAGGCCCAGTGGGGCAGCCCTGGCACCCAAAGGAGGAGCAGGAAGGTGCCGGCTATGGAGCCGTTCCCTTCCGCTCCGGTTCCTCCTCCTCCCAGCTGGCTCCCAGAGCTGCAGGAAGTCGCATCTGCCACCGTCCCAGCTTCTCCCAGCAAGGGGTCAGCTTGGGAGCCCCCATTACAGCTTTGGGGGCTCAAAACATCCCAGGACGAGGGAGGTTCCTTCTTCGTTCTTGGCTCCCAAAATCCTTCAGACCAGCTGGCAGGTGGGAAGGTGGGAGTGAGCCACTGGGCACCGATGGGTCTCTCAGGGAGTGACTCGTATCTACTTTACACCCCGGAAATGCCACCCTGCACTGTAGTCGGTGAGGGGGGTTTTCTGGGGGGCGAGGGCCTCAGCCCTGCAGCCGTACTGCAGGAGATACCTGTGAGACGCTGGGTGATTGCGTGGGGGGGAAGGATTCACAAGGTGCACGCTGCAGGTTTTCTCTGTCACCCCCTGGGCAAGTGATTTGGGGGCCACCCAGTGAAAATGAGAGTGTCTTTAGGGGTGATTTGCAAGCAGGGAGGGGTTCAGTTCCCTGGGGGGCAGCTTGCAGCACATTGTCACCTTGAACGAGGAAAGACTCCACGTCAGCGAACGTGGCTCTTCCTTGGCAGAAGCCACAAGCGCGCCGGGACGCCAGCTAATGATAGCAACCCAGCGGGATCTGTGCGTGCATCACAGCTTGGGGCTGCCTCTGCTTTGTAGCGGTCCGTTCCAGGCACTGAGAAATGACGCTGTTGCCTGGAAAAGGAGGCAGAACAGAGCTGAGAGCCGCAGCTTTGTCACAGGGCTGAACTGGGAATTCAACGCACAAAGCAGAGCGGATAAGACCTGATCCTGCCGTCACTTGTAGCTGTGCAAAGCCCTGTGTTCCCGGAGAGTTATCCTGGAAGGGGACCGGCAGAAAGCGAGGGCAGGGTCAGGATCCACGTTCCCACACATTGCAGCGGGGCTGGAGGCCTGGCTGCAGGACACGGGAGGCTCCTTGCAAAGGGCAAGACCAGGCTAGACCGGGGCAGTGCTGAGGCTGGTGAAAAACGGGAAGGAAAGAAAGAAAAAGACTGTTGCTTTATGTGACTTTACAACCTCCCCTGTAAATCAGGGGGAAAATCCAGCAGCATCTGCCCTCAGATGATACTGGTGATGATAAGAAAAGGCAAGCGAGTGGCAGCCGAGCAAAGGAAATGCTTCTGTCCGCACAGCACAGCGAACCCCACCCCAGGAAGCCGGGTTGCCATTAAGATCAACAGCACCGTAGGATTCAATGGAGGGTGATCGATGGTAATAAAAGTATCTCTGACTACAGGGGAAAAAACCTCAGGCATCAGGGCCATAAGCAATTTAGGAAGAAACTTGAGGAAGGGTTTTGTCCCAGGTTTGATCAGCCATGGGATACTGGCCTCAGTGGACCATCCATTGGGCTGGTTGACTGTAGCAGTTAAGTCCCAGCACTGACCTGTTCCCTGCAAGTGCAGGTGGGCCGTGAGAGGCCTGGGGTGGACACATGCTTCGCACCTCCAGCCCCACTGACCTGGTGCACAAAGCATGGGCACAGCGGCACAGAGCGCTGTGGATGGGGCTCTGTTGGCACGTGCCCATTTGCAAATGCATCTCCCCAGCGGGTTGTCTTCTGCTGCCAGGGACAGACCTATCTAGCCACATCTCCAGTTCCACTGGCAAGGTTGCAAACCCTGAAACACTCCAGCCAGACCCCGTTCCAGGGGGCAACCTATCTCCTCTCTGGGATTTCTTTGCTCCTGACCAGGCAAGAGAGGTCCTGTAGCAAAGACATTGCTGGAAAGTCCCCTGAACTCAGTAGAAAGACCCACACTGTCTTCAAAGGGTGCTGGATCATGCCTCACATCTAATGGGGAGAGGATATATAACCCTGCTCATTTGCTTCCATCAAGCATGTGAACCCAGTCCAGTTTTCCGTGCCCCTCTCCTGAGCCCAAGGGCTGCACGAGGCAGTTCTAGGTAAAGAGCTGGGTGTCCACGTTGCTCCAAAACCCACGCAGGGTAGTGGGGGAAGCCCTTGGAAAGGAGTCGGAAGGATTCACGCTGTTCTTCCCCCTCCCTGCAGCCCGTCCAGGCAACGCGGGGAACATTAAGACGCTGGGAGACACCTACCAGTTTGCCGTGGACGTCAGCGACTTCTCCCCCGAGGACATCATCGTCACCACGTCCAACAACCAGATCGAGGTCCACGCAGAGAAGGTGACTAGCCCGAGCCCAGACACCTGCTGCTTACACAGAGCAGCTACATCAGGAAGGATCGCAGGGCCCCCCAAAACCAGAAGCCCCCTCTTTTTTTTTTTTGGATGTTTTTGTAGCTTCCCATGGGGTTTGCGATCTGCACAAAGCAGGAGGGTGCCCCGGGTTCCCGTGTCACGTGGGACGCGGTCTTCGTCTGCCCACAGCTGGCGCACTGATGCTGAAGAGCCCTGGGGCCAGTTCATGGACTGGGATCCAATCCTGGCGGGGGGAGGTGCTGAGGGACCTGTTTGTGGTCCCACTCATGCCAGTTAAGGTCCTGCTTTTTCCAGCAGAGCAGTTCCTGATTTACACCAGAGTTCAGGTCTCAGTTTGATCCCTTGAGGACCCCGGTGGCATCAGATGGACCTCAGTCCGTGAGGTCCCTTCTCACCCCCAAATGAGGTCCCTCCGGGTGGGATCGAGGCCTGTGGCAGGGGGCTCGCTACGCGGGATGCTGGCCCTGCAAAGCCTGGGCTGCACCCCACGTGGGGACACGTGACGTAGGAGGACATCGGGGCTGTCAGTGCAGCACCACCCACAGTGCCAAGCTGCGGAGGAGAATGGCTGGTACATGCCGATCTTCTCTACCGGCCAAGGACGTCGTACCACTCGCATCTGCTTGCTCGGATGCGAGGGGCTGAGGACGCTATGTGCTGGCCGGTAGCCAAGGAGATCCAGGGCCCGTGGCTGTATCGCTCTGCCTCTAGTCACGCTGGTGGGAGCTGATATAAGGTGCTGCTTTCGGCAAAGCCCACCAAACCCCGGGGTGCCGCCGGATGGAGAGCAGCTGGCATTTGAGCAGATGGTGCCTCCTCCGCGCCTGGCACGCGTGCACCATTCCTGCACGTGCCGCCTGCGTGCAAGGGCCCCAGCTCCTGCTTGCCCAGGCTGGCCCTCCAAGAAGCCCAGGGAAGTCTAGGCCACAGTGACAGCCCTTAGCCCACCTCTAGCACCTATCACATAAAAATCACAGGGCGCTTTCCAACCACGAGGGAGTTAAACCCTGGGATTCCCACGTCAGTGTTTCAAGGACTTGACTCGGGGGAGGCCGCAGCAGCTCTTCCAGGGCTGCACAGGGGTAAATCAGAACGAGATCCCAGGCATCCTGACCCCCAGTCCCCGCCTTTACCCACTCCCTCCAGGCTCTCGGAAATAATCCTTGTGTTTCTCCATCTGTCTGTAACCTGAGCACCTCCAAGCCGCTGGTAAACACCAGCTCTGTGTCCCAGCACACCTGGGCAGCTGGTAAATATTATTATGGTACACAGGAGGAGGTGGAATGACCTGCCCAAGGTCACGCAGGCAGTCAGTGGCGGCACCAGGAATACAGGGTGCCGCGTTCGGGCAGCCAGGTGCCCGCAGGTAGCGGAGCCGCCCGCTCAGCCTGCCCGTTTCTTGCTCCCTTGCAGCTGGCGGCAGACGGGACCGTCATGAACACCTTCACCCACAAGTGCCAGCTGCCCGAAGATGTGGACCCCACTTCTGTCACCTCTGCCCTGGGCCCCGACGGCACCCTCACCATCAAAGCCAGGCGGCACCCGGCCAAGCACACGGAGCACGTGCAACAGACCTTCCGGACTGAGATCAAAATCTGAGAGGCGGCGGGAGGGCAGGGGCAGGGGCAGGGGCAGGGGCAGGGGCAGGGG